TATTAGTTGTTAAAATTATTTGTAAGCTCTTTGTAGGCAGGGACCAAATTTTTATTTTACTCCAGTTTATTTCCAGAACTTAGTTTCTGGAACATAGTAGACATGCAAATATTTGGTTGAATGAACATAATTTTTCAAGAATCAAATCAGGTAAAAATTAGAGCAGTTAGCATGGAATGTAAGTTAGCTGAATCTGCCTTGCCTACTTCAACAGAATATTTTGTAGGAGCCAGGGCTGGGAACTGAACCCACCCTCCGGGCACGCGCCCTGACTGGGAATCAAACCGGCGACCGTTCTTCAGTTTGTGGAATGGCGCCCAGCCCACTGAGCCATATCAGCTCAACAGAATATTTTGGATCTTGTGAGATAGGGATAGGAAAGCACCGTTTAACTGGAAGTGCTTTATAAATACGAGGGTCCCGCCCCCCGCCCCGGGTCTATTCATGCTCAGATCCCTATGGTTTGATGGTTTTTCAAAGTACAAAGTTTTATGTTTCCCAGCCACAATACTACTGGACAGGGTGGTGAGATGAAATACTATTCTGTTGCTTTTCCATAATAAGCAACACAGTCCTGGACCTATTTACGAAAGGTAGTTTTTCCATTAGCTTTTATGATGGTTAAGATAGCAGTGGAAGAGGCACTTAGGTGCAAAGAATAACTTAGAGGTTGACTTAGACATTTTTCTAAGTCTATAGAGCTGTCCACTAAGGCCTTTAGATTTCACTTCCGGGCATCTTCCTATCTTTCTGTTTGGAGGTTTAGTTACTCCTCTCTCTCAAACAAAACAAAATCTGACGCAGTTCCAAGAGCAAATCTATTCCTGAACAAATGCCAATAGCATTTTAAAGATTGTGTCTTACCAGAAAGCGTAGGAAGAAACCTAATGAGAAAGAATGACATCAGTAAGCATGGAAGTATCCTGGGTAGCCTTAGATCAGTCTCTTCCTGTCCCACATTTTAACACTTTGTTTTTAAAAGGGCTATTCTTTATTGAGTCACCTATTTGTAGAGCAATACAATAAGCAATTTTACATGCATTATTTCATTAACCATTCTAATCACCCTGTAAGGTAAGGAAACTGAAAATAGTTCTTTTTGAAAATAGAGCTTGATAAGGAAAAGAAAAAACAAACAAAATAATCCAAACACAAAATGAAAATGGTGCTTGAAGACAAATGAATCTGACTGCAACCCTTTATACCCTAAGATACAATTCTAAAAACCTTTAATTAGAAAATACTTCATTTTGGCTTGATACCTCTGTACCCAGATTAAGTTTGCCTTGAATCATCCAGAGTTATGAGAGTGACCTTTTGAATTCTGTTATAGTTTAATAAAATGACTGACTGAATAATGTGTTGTAACTGAAAATGTGTGGGCCAAAGGAGTCAGCAATCTCTGGGGGACTAATCGTGGTTCTATACTGAGTTATGTGACTTCGTGAAAGTTACTTTCTACTTTGGTGAAGCACTTCCCTCTTGTCCCCTCTAAAATAAAGGGCACTACAGCTCTAGGCAGCCAGAGATCTCTAGCTGGAAATACGGACTTTCAGAGAGTCTCAGTCTGCTTCAGCAAAGGCAGGCAGACCTCTAGGCTAGCCATGCACTTCTGAAGTTGTAAGGAGCATTTGGTTATCTATTCTTAATCTCACTTCTAAAACTTGGGTGTTGGATTCATAGTACTGGTGGGATTTCCCGTTTCTGTTGCCTACATTCATTAGGGGTCACAGAGCAAATGTATTTTTGAACAAATACTTACGGAAACTTTATTATTCTTTAATACTAGAAGATTTTCTCATCAAATAACACCAGCAAAATTTAGGGATGGTACTTCCTTGTTATCATCTCTTTCTACCTCAATAGACAATATCAGTTCCCTCATACAGCTTTCAACCTAGCTTCAGATTCTGTGTGCTGACCCCGATTTTTCTTTATGCAAAACAAATTACCAAAATCTTGAAAAAGCTTTCTCTTTCTAACATCAGTGCTAATGTGTCATTTAAGTCTAATTATTGGGGATTTTCAAGTAAAGGAAATTCTTGATTGGGACTTGTCAGATTTTAAAGCTAATCAGTTTTCCTCTCTTGAATTTGCTTTTCTAGTGAAGCGTTCATAGAGAAACTTCAAATCTATCAAAATAGCTAATGTTTATATAATACTCTAAAGCAGTGGTCCCCAACCTCTTTGGCACCATGGACCAGTTTCTTGGAAGACAATTTTTCCATGGTCTGGGGGCAGAGGGGAGATGGTTTTGGGATGATTCAAGTGCATTGCATTCAAGCTCACCACCTGCTGTGTGGCCTGGTTCCTAGCAGGCCAAGACAAGCATGGGGCTGTGGCCTGGAGGTTGGGGACCCCTGCTCTAGAGTTTATGAAGTACTGTTTTATAGCATAATCTCATTCAGTGCCCACAACAATTCCAGGAGTAGGTGGGATCCCCATTTGTAGATGTAGAAACTGACAAATGAAGAGGCTGAATTGTTCAGGATTTAATAACTAATAAGAGGCAGTACTAGGACTCGAGCCTGGGTCCTCCAATTCCAAATCTTGTGTATTTCCCACTATCCCATTTTGCCTGTAACTTTTCTTCTTTTGTTTTAAAGCCATCATGTTTTGTGGTCACTTAAAAATGGGTTGAGATCCTGTCTCTTCATCTGCAAGATCTCATCAACTTAATAATAGTCACAGAGACATAGTGTCACCATGACTGCAGTATTCATGTTGAGAAATAACCTTGTGAAACTTTTGAGCCACCTCTGGTTCACTACTCTGTGGTTGTTTTGAATTATTCTCTCTAATCTTTATTTTCAAACAGTTATTCATGTATGATGTTTGTTTCTGCAGCCAGCAATTAACAGGAACAGGCCCTAGCTAGAAGAGGGCTGTTTTTACTTCGTTCAGACAGCCAGCTGTAGCACAGCACATGAAATTTCTTCTCTGGATTCTCATTTCCAGCAAATGTCCTTCATTTCCTTTGCTCTGATGCCCTCAGCCCTCAGTCTGTGGAGAGAAATGACTGCATTTCTGAAGAATCCTTTGAATAACTGAGATCTAAATTTTTGTGGCATCAAACTAAGTCTCACTAGGTAGACTCCCTGCCTACCTAGAAAACTCATCTAGACCCCAAAACACCATCAAACCTAGTCTGAGTTCTTGCTGTGCCTTGGGCATGGAGAATCAGCAAGATTTTTCTCAGGATATGAACAATATTTCCCCTCTCGTAACTTTGCAGTTGGCACCAACTATTTCTTTTCACTTTTGATTGCAATTCTAGTCTAAATAGTCCCCTGGGCTCTGGCTCCAACCTCCGGTCAGCAGCGAGAGCAGACACTGGGATATCTCTTTACTGGCAGCCCCAGGCTTGAACTTTGGAAATTGTGGGAAATTCCATTCTTTGGGCACATAGATCTTCTGACTCCAACATAGAAGTGTTTTCCCTGCTGAGTAGAAATGGATGGTATCAGTGATATGGAGTAACAAATAATGAAAATCGTCCTTTATGTGTGTATAATATTTAGTACTTAAAAAATAATGTTATATTTATTTTTTTCTCCTTTCTAATAACCCCAGGAAGCAGAGTGGAAAAGTGGTTAAGAGCAACAGGTCTGGATTTATACTGCCTCAGTGAGTTCCGTTTCGAACATTCAAAGCTATGGAGGTTACGTCATCTCTCATTGTCAGTTTCCTCATCTGTCAAATTTAGAATACTTGTCTCATAGGCTCATTGTGAAAATTGAGATAAGAGGGCAGGAAAAAATTATTGTTGTTATTGTATAAACAAGAAAATCAAGGCTCAGAGAAACTAAGTAGGGACATTGGAGCTGAGATGTATACCTAAATTTTTCTTACTTTGTGTCTATCTCATCTCAGCTTCCTCTGAAATCTATACCTTGCATTGTGTAAAGGTAGCTTTGATCAACAACTATGGACCTCTTACTCTCATTATTTATTATTTAAACTTCCACATGAAGAGACAGAAAATACAGGGTTTATTATCTCTACAAAGGAAAAAGAGGCACCAAAGAATCCTAGTAACAAAATCAGTGTGCTTGATTCTTAGCTCTTAGCACATGCCCAGTTGTCCTCTCGGAGGAGAAGAGCCAGGCCATCCTTCATTTTCCATCTCTCCACTTTCCTTTCCTAAGTTTCCCACGGAGAGGACCTGAAGTGGGCAGAGATTCTGGAATAGGAAGAGGAAAACCAGTAAGTGCTAGCAAGACAGTAGGCACTCTTGTGGCCCAGGGTAGTCTCTCACAAGGAAGAGTGATTGGGATGTAGGGAAGGTGAAGCCTTCCTCAGCACCGCTGGGAAACATGAGTGTACATCCTCATTTGCTGCGTTGGCTGCGTGGCAGGGGGGTGTGCTCCTCCCTTAAGTGCATGTAAAATGAATAGCAGAGGTCTTCCTAATTGTGCCACTTACTGGTATATCCTTTGGATTGTTTCACTATTTGACACATTTTCCTATTCATCTTGGCCTACGTTACAGGGGAAATGAGGTCAAGGGCAGAGGATAGATTTAAGAGATATTTGGGGATAGATATTCATTTATGTACGTATGTATGTATGTATGTATTTAAATCTTCACCTGAGGATATGTTTACTGATTTTTAGAGAGAAAATAAGGGGGTGAGGGGAGAGAGAGAGAGAGAAACATCTGTGTGAGAGAGAAACAACATTTGGTTGCCTCCTGTACTCGCCCTGACTGAGGATTGAACCCACATCCTTGGTGTGTGCCCTGACTGGGGGTTGAACCCTCAACCTTATGGTGTATGGGATGATTCTCCAACTAAATAAGCCACCTGGCCAGGGTTGGGGATAGATATTTAACACTAACAAAAATAAACCCTGTGAGTCATCAGATGTTAGCATTAGTCTCATGGAAGAGAGGTGATTTGCACAAGGCTGTAAGATAAACAAAACTTGCTCAGGACTTTTGACCTCAAGTAAAGAGATTGTTCCAAAACACCATGTGTCCTCCCCGGGCACATAGAAGAATGGTCCAGGTGATTAATATCAGAATTGGGCCTGGGACATAAAAGTGGTTCCGAGAGTTGGATGTTTTACTCATAGTGCTACAGGTTGGGCAGGCTCCCTTTCCCACACATAAGGAGCCATTTCTTGTTTTTTAATATTTCTCTAACCTTTCTACTATAGGCTCTCATTCAGAAGCAATGAGTTTAAAACCCTTCACCTACCCGTTTCCAGAGACAAGGTTTCTTCATTCAGGATCTAATGTGTATAAATTCAAAATCAGATATGGCAACAGAATCAGGTAAATTTAAAGGGCGTTGGGAGGTGGAGGGATAGAGCAAAAAAGAAAAAGAACTCATGGACATGGTGGTGATTGTGGGGCGGGGGGGAAAGGGATGGGTAGAAGTGGAAGGAGTATAAGGGGGATAAATGGTAATGGAAAAAATACAACAAAAATAAACTATTAAAAAATAAAATTCAAATAAAAAATCAGATATGGCAACAGCCACAGGTAAATTTAAAGCTAGGAGGGTTAGCTTTTGCAAACAGGTTAGGACATTTTCCCTCAGGTCGACTTTTCTCTGCCTTCACCTAGTCCAGGAGACTGGCTGAAGTAGCACCTTGTAGGACTTTCTTTACAAGGTACTTTATATTTCATATATTATATATTATTCATGTAAGTTCCTAAACTAGTGATAGCATAACTTTGGGGCGGTGGTTCTTAAAATTTTTTATCTCAGGACCTCTTTGCACTCTTAAAATTATTGAGTATCCCAAAGTTTTTGATAATGTGGATTATACCTGTCAATATTCATCATATAAAAATAAAACAAAAATTAAAATAACATACTTATTCATTTAAAAATAATGTCATAATTTTTTAAATTGATTTTAGAGAAAGAGGAAGAGAGAGAGAGAGAGAGAGACATTTCTTGTTCCACTTATTTATGCACTCATTGGTTGCTGCTTATATGTGCCCTGACCAGGGAGTAAGCCCGCAACCCTAGTGTGTCTGGACAGTGCTCTAACCGACTGAGCTACAGAGTCAAGGCTACAGTGGTAGCTTTTTTTAAAGGTTAATTGCAATGTGGAATCTGAAATTGTATCAGTGAACTTTTTGAACTCTGCTACATTAAAATTCATTGGTCTATCTTGTTCTTTGAATGAATCTTTTACCTAGAATGATCTTGTAACATAATGCATTTCATTGGTCATTGGAAAACATTGGTTCACTGACTTATTCAGATCATCGAAATGTCAACACATTTCATTATACAGGAATACCTCGGAGATATTGTGGGTTCAGCTCCAGACCACCACAATAAAATGAGCCGTAATCTTTTTGTTGGTGGAGAGTTTTGCCTTGAATTTGTAAAAACTGCAGTAACTGTGAAGCGCAGGAAGACAAAGCACAATAAAATGAGATATGTACAGTATTAAAAAGTCATATTTGTTAATATCACTAACAGCCTCATCAGAAAAATGTTTTAAGTATTTGGAAATTGCCAACCTCACAGTGGTGGACAGAAGTTCCCCAAAGCGCAAATTTTTGCTTGAAATCCCAAAACTTACCATTGATGAAAAAATACTATCTGTTGTCATTTGATAATAGATACTTGAATTGATAAGCTCACTGTTCATCTTTGAGAAAATGTCACATTCCCAAGTCTAATAACAACCATAGTTTGTATGTCAACTGACCATTCAAGTAAAATGCTGTTCCATGAGAAGAGCAGGTAATTTAGTTTGCAGCTTAATCGCACAAGTGCTTTCCCTCCAGACGACTCTGGTATTTCTGTGGGCACAGAAGTGCTTTATGCATACTTTGTTTTATCTATAGCATATTAAAAATACATGTATTCAAGAGTTGAGATTTTATAAAATTATGAAATTTTTACTGCTTCCTCAAGGTTATTAAGTGAAGGTGGATTTTTTTTCCTGTGCAGCAGTTAAGGTTACTACAGCTGCTAGTACAGTTTCGTGTGGCTGGCTTGATTTATGCTAAGACACCAGCAATTTTGCTCACCATTGCTTTTGCTCTAATGATTACAAATGTTAACAGTGAAAAAGGCAAATAACATCTTAGTATTACGAAAATAATGTTTGCCCTTGGAGGGTCTTGAGGACCCCTAGGGGTCATCAGACTATACTTGACTACAAATGGCCTAACAGATTAGTAACTTTCGCAGTGGGAATTTCAGGTCTTGGCAAGTTAGTGGAGAAGGTATTTTGGTATATAGCCTTGTACCAATTCCCAGACCACACCGCATAGGTGATCACTTCCTCCCATGAGCTGTGGGGTCAACATACATGATGATTGTTATTTAGTCATGTTTCTTTAGCTCAGTGGAAATGTCATTTTTGCTTTACAGTCTACTGTCTCCAGAGCCTTCCTTTTTGGCTTACTTAGCTCTTATTTATTTACCTTCTAGAGAGGAAGATGTAGAAAATAAGGAAGTCATCGTCCAGGAGCTGGAGGTAGGGAAAGAAGCTGACAACTTCTGGGAAAGTTGTTCTTCTGAGGATGTGTCCATATCCAGACTTTAATTATTTGTTATTACCAACTGAGTCACAACCACCACTTGATTACTTGGCTTCTCCCTGCCACATTTCCTCTGCGAAGATATTTTACTGTTTTTCCAGGGAAATTAAAGCCTGTATCCTTTTTCAGTTTTCCTAGTTGAAGTGTCAGCACCTTTGAGGCTGAGAGTTATTTTGTTTCTACTAGAGTTCCCAGCCATGGGCAGCTCTCTTTTGTGGCAGCTGGCAAAGAGGAAGCTTCCGGAGGACTGGAAGGACTACTGCCTTCCAGGGCTCTGGGAAACCTCACCATCTCAACCACTGCTGGTACTTGACGTTCAGGAAACTGAACTGTAAATACACAGACAAGGCTGCTGTGTCTTCATGTTAATTGGAAACATTTGCCATTGCTTTATTCCCACTTTATTTTCATTCCTTTTCTACCCAGTTCCTCTAGCTTTAGGTTTTCATATAGGAAGAAGACTGAACAGGTGGATATTTTTGTAAATTGGTAAAAGCACTGGGCAAGGGGCTGAGCCACTAATTATCTGTGTGACCCTCAGCAAATCATTTATCTCCCTGGGTCTTGATTGCCTCATTGGTGAAATGAGAGTTTTAAAGGTTTTACTTATTTATTTTTAGAGAGGGTAAATGGAAGGAGAAAGAGAGAAACATGTGTGAGAGAAACATTGATTGGGTGTCTCTCACACCCTGCAAGCTGGAGACCTGGTCTGCAACCCAGGCATGTGCCCTGACCAGGAATTAAACCTGTGACATTCCAGTTCATAAGCCGGCACTCCATCCACTGAGCTACACCAGCCAGGGCCAAAATCAGTTTTAAAGTCATTTAATCTCTTCTAACTTCATAACTCAGTGATTTATGACTAATGTGGTTTATTAAGACATATGCTGCCACACTTCAAAGAATTCAGATATAATTAAATTCACAAAACTCTATAAAAACCAAAAATTTGAGTCATAGCCCCAAAGATACCTGTGGCTCTTTGGCTACGTGTGGAAACATACATTAGGATCTTGCAGGACCTCAGAAACATCATTATAAATAACAATATAGGACTGTGACAGTTTTTTGCTTATTTTAATTGTGAGTAGAGCAGATTTATTTCGCTTTGCTCCAGTTAATTTGGGCAGAGAAGAGCTCAAGGTAGCATAGTTAAGTGGTGAGAGAGCATGAACTTTAGAACCACTCAAACCTGAATTTGAGTTCCAGTTCTGCCTTCACAGTGTGACATTGGGCAACTGACCTACCTTCTCTGAGTCTTTTTTTCTTTTTTTACCTGTCAATGAGGTTGATAAATAATGCCTGTTTTCACGATTGTGGTGAGGATTAGAAATAGATGTGTGCAATGCCTGCCACCTAGTAGCTCAATAAATGCTAGCGAGACAGCATTTATATAAACATATAATCATACATCTTCAAAGTCCTTTTTATATGTTATTTTTCTCTTGCTTTTATTAGTTTTGAGGCAGGGATTATTATTCTCTTTCATTCATTTAGAAAACATTTATTGATAGGCACCATACCTTAATTGTTAAGATATTCCTAGGTTCATATCTTGGCTCTACCATTACTAGCTATGTAATCTTGAATAAGTTATTTCATCTCTCCTTGTCTCAGTTTCCTCATCTGTAAAATGAGGATAATAGAAATGTCTATCTCATAGGGTTTTATGAGAGTTAATATGTATCAAAATAGTAACACTTGCCATTGTGATTACTCAATAAATATTAGGTATTAAAATTATAAGCTAGATACTATGCTTAGTACAGAGAATACAAAGATAAACAAGACATAGTTTCTACCTTCTGTGAACCCAAATATGAGGAAAATGAGGCTTAGAGGGAATGACAAACCTAGGACTGAAATTCAGATTTTTCCCCATAAAAAATAGTCTTTTTATGATCCCAAGTTGTTTAATTAGTATATACTGATAAGCACAGGTTAATTAGAGGTTAACCAATTAGGATTTTTAAAGAGTAGAAGAAAATGTTTGACTTAAATTAAGCAAAAGCAAAATAACTTTATATCAGTAAATCAGTACTATTCAATATATCAGTATTTTTTCAATATGTTTACTGGAGACCTGTTCTGCATCATCCGTTATGGTAGACACCCTAGAAGGGATACTAAAAAAAATCAGGTATACAAGTCCTGTCTAGAAGGTATACAGCCATGCAATATGAAAAATAGACATTTATTAAAGAAGATACAAGACACAAGAAACATTGTATATAGGACAAGGATGCCTCAGTCCCCTTCAAAGCAGGCACCTTGGGACCTCACACAGTTCTCTGATCGCCATCAGCTGCCCTTTTGTATTTTCCTGAATCTCGTTGACAGTCTGAAATCTCTTCCCTTTCAAAGGTGATTTTAGTTTGGGAAAAGCCAGAAATCACAGGGTGCCAAACCTGGGCTGTAGGGGGGCTGAGTCAACTGGGCGATTTGATGTTTTGTCAAAAAACTGCACAAGACATGATGCATGAGTGGGCGCATTGTTCTGATGAAGCTGCCAATCACCAATTGCCCATTGCTGTGGCCCTCTGAATCATCTGAACAGTTCTGGGGAGGAACGTTCAAGCTAAACACAAAATTTGATGCAGATCTGTTGCTCTACTTGCTCAGGCATTTTCAATGCAATAGCCACACAGTACGCATGCTCACTCAATGACATCTACCGCTCCCACTGACTAGTACAGTGAAGTCACCATTGTTCATGCATGTGCATTCCAGTCCACTCTCCTTGGCTGCCAGGTTACATTGATGGCGGGGCAGACCATTCTTGTTACATTAACAATAGCTGGACTTTTTTCTCGACAGACTGTGTATATTCTACCTAAACAAGGTTTCTCAGTAAAGAAAATAAAACATATGTATGTGGAGTGTAGTAAAGGCCCAAAGCTAATTACTGTGCAGCTTGAGACTAGCGGTTAATTACAACTTGGAGACTCAGGGAATATTTTCTGAAGATGGCTTTGAATGGTACCTTAGAGATAGGTAGGATTTAGACATATGCTGATGAGTGGAAAGGGCATTTCAGGCAGAGGGAACAGGCTATGCAAGAGCATAGACATGGAGATGTAGAAGGCACATTCAGGGAACAGCAAATGGTTCAGCTTTAATAGAATATGGGGTATGTGAAGGGCCATGACAAGTATAATTGGGAAGATGAGCTGAGGCTAGAGAGGATTAAAGTCATTTCAAATGTTTTTTTCAGGACTCTATTCGTGTGGTCTTGGGAAACTTGGACAATCTGCAGCCATTTACTACAAAACACTTCATTGTGTTTCCCTGTATCCTTTCATTTCGGGGTGGGAATGAGCTACAGCTCACATTGTTGATTGAACTAGAAGTGACAAACCTATAGGCTGTTTGGAAACAACCTATAGGGCAGGGAAAGGAGAAAGAGTCTTATCCCTAAAATAGTACTCAGGTATTGGTACTGATGTCTTCCTGCACTCCTTAGCACCATATCCCAGATAAAAGCAGATGGGAGAGAGTGTCCCACCTGAAATTCAAACGTGGGGAAATTGTCTTGGTCCCCTATCCATTTGTTTTGACTCTCTACGTGGAGATGAAATGGTTTCATGAAAACCTGTTACCTGGTGAGTAGAATGACATGAAAACCTGTCATCTGGTAAGTAGAATGATGGAAGTATGTGTGGTAGAGAAGAAAAAAGGGGAAGGTTGAAGTTCCATGGGTTAGCATTGCAAGCAGAATATGGCAAAAAGGTCGGCCAGACTACGCTCTAGTACCACACAGTGTAGAGGTCAGAGGCATGTGCTCCAAGCTAGACTGCCAGTTCAAATCCTAGTGGCTTTATCACTTAATCTGTGTGACCTTAGGTAAATTTCTTAACCTTTCTGTGCCTCCTTTGTGAAATGGTGAAGAATAATAATAGTACTTATCTCTTTGAGAGCATGTTGTTAAATCATTAAATATATGAATACTGAAAGATGGAAAATAAGTACAAAGTCTTGACAGAGTGATCACTCAGTGAAAGAGACCTATTATATAAATACTTCCTTCCATTTTAGAGTATTCAGTGACTTTCACTGAGTATCTTAAAATGATGTCTCCCAATTTTTAACCTCTAAGGGCCATCGTCCTTTTTACTCATGGAGGGACAAGTAGACACCTGCCAGTTTGATTTGGAAAAGGTTGCAAAGGCCTTGCCTCAAAATATCTCCCCAAATAATTTGTCACTGATGCCTGAAGTTCCACCTTTTGTTTCATAGTAGGGACCCCCATTTAAGTGGCATATTGTTAGAACATGGTGTGAAGCAAACTCTAGAACTTTCAACTTGTAGATGATAATGTTCTAAAATAGAGGAGGAAGAGATTTTTAAAGACTGTATTTCTAGGATAAGTGGTTCCAGGCAGAAGGGAGAAGAGCATACATGGAGGTTTTGTGTAGGACAATTTTGAAAAGTAAATGGTAGCCAGAAATCCAACTTGATCCATTATGACATTTAAATTTCCTGTTGTAGGAAAACCAATAAACGACAATCCTCTTGGGTTGGTAAGTTGCCTTTTGTATATAATGTGAAAATTGCCTTTGTTGCTTCACGTTGTCCAAAAAATCCTGCTCTAGTCTCTTCCTTTAACTTTGTCCCTGTTGCTGCCCAGATCCAATCAGAATTGTATACATGAGACCACCTCTTTCCCCTTGGCTAGATTTCTAAGACTGTCTCTAACAGAATGTCTGCCCTACTTGAAAAGCTGGCAAAGTTGCCTTTGGCAACTTAAAGGTGCAGTGTTCACTGTGCCCTCCTGAACTGTGAGCACCTCTGGAAAAGGAGGAGTCACAGGCATATGGTTCCTCTCTGAAGGTCGTAACCGAGAAGGAGGCAGCAGGAGCCATGAGGAAGAAGCGAAAACGCACGGAAGTGTCCAGCTCCCCCAGCAGTCCAGGGCCGGACAGGTCGGTAGTGCCGGGGGGAAGTCGGAATCCTGCATTCTAGTCAGGCCTTGCCAGCTGCTGCTGCTGGTTTATCTTGTCCTTGAGTGAGTCACCTTCTCAGGGTTTCATTGGTACCTGGCTATGCCAGTGGGTGGACTAAGGAAAGGTAGTAAGTCGGTATTTGCAGTGTAATTTGAACACAGTACCTTCTTCAGCAAAGTAGGAGGTACTTTGTCTGTTTATTAAGATGAAGGCCAAGGAAAAAATGCAATCAGACCTATACAAGTGCATCCAAAATATATTCAATGAGTACTTACTATGGTTGTACTACCAAAAACACAGTGAGAAGGCACAAGATTTAAAAAGCTCCAGGATATTATACAGGAACATAGGGAAACCTTCAAGGGAGTAAGAACAAATAAAATGTAATTCTGTTTTGCCTAGTGAGCAATAAGCTTTTAAAACTCTACCTTAAAAGATAGTCCAGTTTAAAATATAAATGTCTACAAGAGGGTATGTACCAATTATTGGATGAGGTGCTGCGATATTAGGTGGAATATGAGCACATCCCTAAAATGTTGAAGTTACTATTGAGGAGGATGCTTATTTTCTTCTTTTGATTCTCTGGCAGGGACAGAGTGAGTCAGTAAGACAGTTCAGTCATTCTAATTAGCACCCACAGAGGGCTGCTGGAATAATCCAAGGTGTGGTTTGCTCCCCAGCCCAAAGTGCTGTCAGCCCAGGTTCACAGAGAGCTGCTCCTTTCTTTCTGGGACTGTGTGGGCCCCAAGGCACTCAGGAGCAGTGAAGGTAGACCATGAGGAAGCCAACTTCTGCACCCTCCTAATGCACAGGGCCGTGAGGAGCTAGGAGACTCTTCCCCCAGCCAGGTGGAATGTGAGGGTGCTTGGAGCTGTAAGCTTTGCTCGGTTCCACTTAACTGAATTTTCCGTGGAGATGAAGCTTCACGTCTTCCCTTTCTTTGGGTTTTGATGCACAATCAGGTATTTCAAAACCTGATGCCTGCTGTCAATCCATTTTTCTTTTCTCAACCACTAAATTCCTAAATGTCTCAAACTGGGATTCTTCTGTGAATTAAAGCAGCACCCAAAGAGAATTTGGCCACACAATTTAGTCTGCAGGCCAGGAGTGGTATAAAAATAGCCAACCTGCTGAAATATTCATTTGAGCCACGTTTGCTTGAATGTGGTGATGTTGTTGCTGGCAGTAACATTTCCTGGGCTTTTCCCCCGACCTCAGGGCCAAGATGAGGACTTGCAGCCAAGGTCCCAGCAAAAAGAAGCTCCTTATGGAAACCAGCAGGGTAAGCACTACAATGGAGGCTTCGAAGCTCTTGACTGTGCCTGCTCTGCTACAAGCTAGTCAGGGTTCCTGTTACCAGCACATCTTGGTCCTCACTACAGGCCACATTGAGTGAACTCATTCTCAGGTTTCGCCGTCTGCAGAATTGCATCCAACCATTCCTTCCTTGCCACAACCTGTCCCAAAAGCAGCTGCATGACACTGTACACATTGATGAATCCTTTCGTTAAGAGTTCTATTCTCAGCTTAAAAAGCCACTTCTTGTACTCTGCAGTTCAAATAAGAAAATAGGACTGTTGAACTGAGGTAGTATCCAATATAGAATGTTCTCTTTAGAAACCTTTTTGCCTTCCTCCACACTGGGGTCTGAGTCTAGGAACATCGAGTTTTTACAGGCAAGCTAGGCATGTAACGGCCCAGGACCCTGGTGAGAGAAGACTCATTTAGAGCAGTGATGGGCTGACCCCAATAGTATTTGATTTTATTTGTGAGGTCTGTCCCCCATTTAGATATTCATATATCTGCTACTCCTCCATTTCAGGGCTTCTTGTTCTTAGTAGTCTCTAAGTAGTCTCTAAATAGTACCCTTTTTCTTTTCCTTCTCTCTTGAAATTGCTCTTATTTTTACTTTTTTTCCTCTTCTCTCTCTCCAAAGTAGCTCTGATGTTAAAGCATCCACACATTCTTGACTCACCTCCCTCGCCTTCCCAGGACCCATTACATGATCAGTTAGTAAGCAAACATTTATATTTACACTCATTCAACAAACGTCGACTGAGTGTACTATGTGCCAAGAACTAGGGGTATCACGCTCTCTCCTAAACAAGCCAGCTGCGTCATTACTGATAGATGTGCTGTGTGTAGGAATCGAGGAAGCACAGGAATTAAAGGGACTACAAGGGAGAACCTCACCCAGCCCAAGTGGGTGTGAGGGAGGGTTCCTCTAGTGCTCAGGAGGGGAAAGCACAGTGCCATGGAGACTGCAGGCCAGTGTCCCCGGAGCCTGGTGTACAGAGCTGAGAGAGGGCACTGGAGAGGTCGGCACTGGCCGCATCACCGAAGGCCTTGAAGCTGCCTTCAAGATTACAGGAACTCCCTAAAATATTTTTAAGTAGAAAAGTGAAATAATTTTCACTCCTAAATGATTATTCTCTCTCCTGTTTGCAAGGCATTGTGTTAGATGCAGGAGTACACCCAAACATGTAAAATTTGGTTTCTTTCTAGAAGCTTATCATTTAGTTGGAGGAAGAGTGAATCCTCTGGGACTCAGACCTCTACCTGCGGAGGCAGGTGTGGGCTACAGGGTCTCTTCGTTCCATGACCACCTGGTCTGTGGAGTGATTTTAGGCAGATGGTGACTCTCTTCTGTCCTCTCATCCTTTTGAGAGGAAGAACTGAAAAAGTGCAAGAGGAGTACATGAAGCTCTGCAGAACAAAGACAGTCTAAACAACCAACAGAATCACTGTTAAAGGAACATTTCCTTCACTCTCTACCCTTTGTACCTTCCTATTCTTAGTTTGACAGATCATCTCCCTCAAGAACTGTACCCACATTTTCTTATTCAACATAATTACCTTTCAGCCTGATACTTAGTTTAGAAAAACACTGAGCACAAAACCCCAAAAGGAACATGTTTATTGGTTTTGACTCAAAGCCCAAAGACAGACAGTCTCCACTGTAGACCCTGTTCCCAGAGGAAGGATTTCTCCTAAATTAAAGTTATCACAGTGACTCTCAGTATAAGCCACTTGAGCTAGAGAAATTGAATTTGCTCCTATGGTCCAATGCTTAATATTTTCTCTGCCCATTAGAGGAAGTTAAGGTGTAGGATCACCATGTGGATTATGCATGTCTGAACATACTGAGACCCTTTAGGGGGAAAGCTTAGACGAATACAACACATTTCTGAATAAGATCTCTTATTCCATAAAAGGTGTTTTGGGGAGAATAGGAAGGAAGGGCAGATCCATTCCCTTTGTTACTCCATTTCCCAGACTTGGAGATCAAGACTTTGGAAGGATTAAAAAAATGGGGGAGAACACATAAATGGTCCAGAACTGAAACATATTGTCGTGTGCATAGTTTTTTGTTTGCTTGCATGCTTGTTGGTTTGTTTGTTTGCCACCTCTGCTTGAACTGCACTCTTTTTTTAAAGGTTTTATTTATTTACTTTTTAGAGAGAGGGGGAAGGATGGAGAAAGAGAGTAAGAGAAACATCAACGTGTGAGAGATATATCTATTGGTTGCCTCTCACATGCCCCCAGCTGGGGACCTGGCACGCAACCCAGGCATGTGCCCTGACTAGGAATTGAACCTGTGACCTTTTGGTTAACAGGCCATTGCTCAATCCACTGAGGCACACCAGCCAGGGCTGAACTGCACTTCTAAGCAGATCTGGCCCTGAACATACAGAGGACAACCTTGTGTTTGGTTTTCAGGGTATTGTGTCCTTTTGGATGTCCCAGATAATACTCTCAGTCTTTTTTTTTTTTAATTATATTTTATTGATTATGCTATTACAGTTGTCTGGTTCTTTCCCCTTTGCCCCTCTCCACCTAGTACACTTCACTCCCTCAGGCAATCCCCCACCATAGTTCATGTCCATGGGTCATGCATATAAGTTCTTTGGATACTCCATTTCCTATATTGTACTTTATATCCCCATGGCTATTCTGTTACTACTTATTTGTACTTCTCAATCCCGTCACCTCTTCACCCATGCCCCCACACCCCACTCCCATCTGGCAACCATCAAAACACTCTCCATATCCATGATTCTGTCTCTATTCTTCTTGTTTTCTTAGTTTGTTTTTTAGATTCAATTATTGATAGATATGTATTTTTGCCATTTTATTGTTCATAGTTTGATCTTCTTTTTCTTAAATAGGTCCCTTTATCATTTCATATAATAGTGGTTTAGTGAGGATGAACTCCTTTAGTTTCTTCTTGTCTGGGAAGCTTTTATCTGCCCTTGGATTCTAAATGATAGTTTTGCTGGGTAGAGCAATCTTGGCTGTAGGTCCCTGCTTTTCATGATTTTGAATATTTCTTTGAATAGAATAGATTTGAATAGAAGGGATTTCTAATCCCTTCTAGCCTGCAAAATTTCTTTTGAGAAACCAGCTGATAATCTTATGGAAGCTCCCCTGTAGGTAACTAACTTGTTTTTTCTTGCTACTTATAAGATTCTCTCTTTGTCTTTAACCTTTGGCATTTTAACTATGATGTGTCTTGCAGTGGGCCTCTTTGCATCTATCTTGTTTGGGACTCTCTGAGCTTCCTGGACTTGCACGACTATTTCCTTCACCAAATTAGGGAAGTTTTCTTTCACTCTTTTTTTTTTCAAATAGATTTCCAACTTCTTGCTCTTTCCCTTCTCCATCTGGCACTCCTATGATGCGAATATTGGACCTCTTGAAGTTGTCCCAGAGACTGCTTATACTACCCTCATTTTTTCGGATTCTTTTTTCTTGTTGTTCTGATTGTTTGTTTTTTTTTTCTTCCTTATGTTCCAAATCATTGATTTGATTCTCAGCTTCATCCATTCTTCTGCTGTTTCCCTGTTAATTGTTCTTTATTTCAATTAGTATAACCTTCATTTCTGACTGGATCTTTTTTATGCTGCTGAGGTCCTCACTAAGTTCTTTGAGCATCCTAACAACCAGTGTGTTGAACTCTGCATCTGAAACTTTGTTTATCTCCATTTCATTTAGCTCTTTTTTGAGTTTTGATCTGTTCTTTCATTTGAGCCATGTTTCTTTGTCTCATCATTTTGGCAGCCACCCTGTGTTTGTTTCTATGTATTAGGTAGAGCTACTTTGACTCTGTGTGTTGGTAGCATGGCCTGATGTGGTAAGTGCCCTGTAGGGTCCAGTGGCACAGCCTCCCCTGTCACCCAAGCAGGGTAATCGAGGCACACCCTTTGTGTAGGCTGTGTACACCCTCCTCTTGTCATTTAGCCTTGGTTGCTGTTGGCAGATCAATGTGAGGGATTTACCCAGGCCAGTCAGCTGCAAAGACTGGCTGTGACCCCTGACCTCCAACCCCTGCCCTCTGTGGAGGATCAGCTGTGCAGGGGCAGGATGGTGGGACTCCAGTGTGGCCTGTAGCCGTCTGCTGGGTGCACTGGCCCTGGGGTTTCCCAGGTAGTGAAGGCCCAGGTCAGCCCCCACCTGTGTTTTGCCTGGGGCCACCCTGCCTGAGCTATGGCTGCTACTTGTGTTGGGCTTCGAGATTCCTAGGAGAAGCCAAGCTGTGAGTCTAGGCTGGCTGCGGATTTAGGAAGTTGTGCAGCATGAGCCAAGACTAGCCATTCATATGGAAAAACAGCTTGGATGGGCTGGTAAGTTGGGTGGGGCAGTGTCTGGGGACCCCCAAGGCGGGATACCCTCAGTCTTATTTCAGACTATAATGTTTTTTTCCTCTCAACATTTTTCTAAGAAGAACCCTCTCAAGATTTCAGTAGAAGAGCTAAGGTACCTTGTGAGAGGACTTTCCCGTTTTAGAAGTAGGCTTGACCTCTGCCCTAGGGCTTTTGCCTTTCTGGTTCCCACTGCCAACGTTCTTAGATGCTTTCATGAGGGCCGGTGCTGCGGCATTTAGTCCCAAACCATAGTTTCATTAAATTTGTAAGAATCATTCCCTCAAGCTAAACATCAGAGCTGGACCCTCTGAATTGCATATCTACCCTATCTGGAAGAGGTAAGAGATGGTCTTCTTCCTCCCCAGAGTTTCCTTTCACTTTTAAAAAAAAGTCCCCATCCAAGGATATGTTATTGATTTTAGAGAGAGAGGAAGGGATAGAGAGGGAGAAAGAAAAACATTGATATGATAAACATTGGTTGGTTGCCTCTCATGCACACCCACTGGGGGTCAAACCCACAACCTAGGTATGTGCCCTGACCGGAAATCCAACCCGTGGCCTGTTGGTGTATGGGATAGTGCTCCAATCAACTGAGCCACCAGGCCAGAGCTTTTCACTTTTATCAGAATGTGGCTTAAGTGGCCATCTATGTGGTCTAGAATGTGATGGTTTGTGGTAGCTCACGTTGGAAATACCAGCTTATGCTTGGGATAGGGGCTACGTCCTAACTTCCCTAGGTGCTTGCCGTGCTTCTTCCCCCCAGGCCTGCCTTGATAGTCCACAGCCCCTTGCTCCAGAATTCTTCACCAGCAAAGTGGCTCAAGGAACCCCCCAGCTCTGCTGGGGAGTCGGGCCCTCAGGTTCTGCCCAGGTGAGGGGAGTGGTCAGTTGGCAGAGATTCCCAAAGAAAATACATGAACCATGTTTCTGATTCTCAGGGTGTCTACCAAAGTGTAGGCTTGGAAGGAGGTTGTAGGATGTCCACAGAAACCTTATAAAGTGATAGCACAAGGAGAAATCATTAGATTGTGTGGTAGGGTACTCGTTGCTTATGCTGTGGTCACGTTTCCCCTGCCCCAGCTCTAGCCATGCTGGTTGTATTTACTTGTTAATGGCACTGTGCCTTCATACACCCTGACCCTGTCTGGAATGCCCTTCTTCTCACCATCTCCTCACCCCCGGTAACCCCCATTATGACAAGACCCCACTTGTACACCAAGGCTCCGTTCAAATAGCCTTTCCCCTGTGACGCCTCCCTTGACTAACCACCACTGGCTCTATCCATGTCTCCCTCATCAACCACAGCACTTTCTACAGACATGGGGCAGTCTTACCACGCTGTCTTATAACACTTAAGTCTTTATGTCAGTTTTACCACATAGAGTATACATTTCTCCACAGTAAAGTTAAGGTTCTCTTACCTTCTGAAACCTCAATATTCTGTCCTTGTTAATAGTTGGCACTCAGTAATATGGAATGATAAATTAAACCCAGCTTGGTTTGTTCCGGCTCTTAAACCATGTGATTTTAGAAGGACAGTGGTTCAGAAGCTGAAATGGGAAAAGAACGGTTATTTAGACAGAAATCTAGAACATGCCTGGGTAGTCAGAAGCCAGGCCCCAGCACTGATGGGAAATTAATAAAGCAAATAGCATTCAGATTCCCTAGCTGTATGAGAGTAAAGTTTAAAACTTTCCTTGGTCCTTTTTTTTTTTTTTTTTTTTTTTTTATCAGAACAGGGAAAGAAAAACCCAGCAGGAAAGTCAGGAGACCTCAGCATTTGATGTCACTGATGTCCAGGAACAAGGTAGGTTCTTTTAATAATTGTCCTGTCCCTTTTAGTTTTCTGGTGAGCAGAGCAGCACAGTGCTCTAAGTCTGAGTGTGCTCAATGGGTGATGTGCCTTGTTCCCATGGAGGTGCCTGCTGATCACCCTCAGCCTGGGGCCTGCCCTTGAATCACAGAAGCCACCCCTCACTCAGCTCCCAAGAGGAGTAAAAGGAGGCAATGCATGTCCTTCCTGTGCTTTTGATAGTGAAACTGATACTCCCAGTATTTCAGGGCATTTCCATGTGGGGTGATGTGTGTCACTTTTTGTATTCCTGGAGTATGAGCTCTGGGAAGCTGTCTCTTCTCTTCCCTTCGGACGTTAGTGTTAACATCGAAGGTGCAGCGGATGCATGGCAACACTGGGAATGCATGTTGAAGGGTTGCCCTTCCAGCTTGCTGCTCTTTTACCCAGCATGGAGATTCCGTGTGGAGTGCAGCTGTCACAGAGGCAGGGATGTAGTAAGCGAGTGAGTTCTTCAACAAGCTGTCATCCATGTGAAGACACCAGCCGTGGTGGATGGCTAGGACTTGAGTAGTATAAAAACCTCAGGGGCCTGACTTTGAAAATACTCCAAGGCCAGAATAGCATCTTACCAAGTGAGATGAAATTGAGAAAGTCAGAACAAACAAGTCACCTGGCTTCAAAAAAAACCTGCTGTGAGGCTGCCCTCGGCTCATGCTGTGAGTGTCCTGCCTTCTGCTCCCATCAAAGTCGCCTATGGACTGACGCCATTCCCTTCCTGCGTGTTTTCCTTGCAGATTCTAGGTGGGAAGACAGCCTAGTAGGGGACATTATCCAGCCATTGGAGGAGAGCAATCCATCTCCACCTAAAGGACCCACAGACCTGGGGACCAGTGGCTTCTTCGGGTTTTTAAGGTAAGACAGACCTTTCCTGCCATCAAACTGCGACCCAGAATGAAATAATTCCAGAGTCGGTCTCACTGAGTCTCTCAGGGAAATTAGAATAGAAAAGAAAGCAGATTATTGCATAATCCCTATTTTGTCCAGGATAGATGATGCAAATGAGTTTGAGCACAAGGACCCTAACAGTGAATTTATATATTTTTTATTTTTAAAATATTTTATTTATTTATTTTTAGAGGAGGAGGGAGGGAGAATGAGAGGGAGAGAAACAATCACATGCAAGAGAAACAATCGGTAGCCTCTTGCATGCCCCCAACTAGGGACCCGGCCCACAACCCATGCTTGTGCCCTGACTGGGAATCGAACCTGCAACCTTTAGGTTGTCCAGCCGACACTCAATCCACTGAGCTACACCAGCCAGGGCCCTAACTGTGAATTTAATAAAACTGCCTCTTGTTCATTTTCACACAGCCCGCCCCACTCAGTGTGCCCAGCATTGGGCCTTGTTCCATAAATAGTGCTTGGATAGAGACTGTTCTCATTGTACTTGGCTCATTTAGATGATTTGGTGACCAAAATGCTTCTGTTCTCCCCTCTGAATCTGGGCTGTCTTTAGTTATTTTTGCAGAGGACAGTTAGCAAATCCCTTTATCTATCTAGAGCTCAGCCATCCCATTGCAATTCTTTATTTCCCTCCCTGAGTATAATCTAATTTGGGTACCTTTTCAAATGCTGTTCCAGACTTGAATTTCCACTCAGTGGTTCCCCAGAGCAAAAATGCCCCAGCTAATGGAGCCCTAATGCGACCTGGGAGAAGAGAAGGGGACCTCTGGAGTGTCAACCTCTTCTGCTTGCTTTCTTGCAGCTCTCTCTTCCCGTTTCGGTATTTCTTCAGAAAGAGCAGCCAGTGAGCCTTCCAAACATGGCAGTGGCAAGAGTGGCCTCTCCCAGTGATCCTGCCCACTCTGTCCTCTGCTTGCGACATTCCAGCCATGGGGAATGCAGGCCCCAAACTCCCTAAGTCCTCTACTTGGTTTGCCCTGTCCTTTGCCCCTTTCCAATGAAATGTTTTTTTTCAATTTAAAACACTAGGAAAAAAAATGGAACTTTCTAATGTGTTCTAAATGTTTGAGAATTGTACTGTTTTGAGGTTCAATTTAGGTCTTTCATCTCTCGCACTTAGAATCCTAAGATAATAAATTATTTATGAACAGTTATTGACTGAGTTCAGTGAAGTAGAGTGTGAGAAAGAGCAAGTCCTTCCCGCAAGATACAGGGAAGCAATGCCCGAAACCTCCCCTGGGTCTACCTGGCTGTTGTGGACAGGATGCTCTGGGCAGGTGGGGTCTGTACCTCACCTCAACCTTTAAAGTCCCCTGCCCAGGTTAGGGAATGGGGTCTTGCAAGACTCACTGATCTGAGCCCTGCTGACCCTCAAAAATCATCCTCCCTCGTTCACCCAGTTTGGGCCCAAAGTGCAGCCTCTTAGTAGATGAATGCTTCCCACCCATCTATCCCTCTGGCTTTTGACAATAATGCAGGTAAGTTTACTGAATTGCCTGACATTGGTCCAGGTTAGAGCCGCTGGGGAGAGCAGGGCCCCAGCTCTGTCTTCATTGAATGCAAGCGCTGAGCTGGGACAGACAAGTTAGACTTGTGTTTTGTGGCCACAGAGGGTGAAAATAATTGTTGGGAATTTAGGGAAACTCATTCTGGTTGAGGACAAAGGAATCACTTTTTTACCTGTTAGAGATGTTTAATATTAGAATGGGCCACCTCGTGAAGTGATGAACCCTTGTCACCTCTGGTCTTCAAACAGCTGATTTGTCTGTCAGACGCTGGAAGGTTCTCATGATGTTGGGGCTGGACTGCTTGGATCCCTTGGAGATCCCGTTTGCCGCCTTCCCCTCGGGTGGGGAGAAGAGAGGTGGGCTGCTGTGAGAGGGCCTGGGCCCGAGGAGAGGAGGGCTGGTGGGGAAGCCATCCTGTAGCGGGATGGGAGGACTGGGGGCAAGTTGCATTCACAGCTTTTGCCCTACCGGCCCAAACACGGCCTGCTTCAGGAAGCAGCCAGAAGGCACAGCTCCACAGTCTGGAGGCCTGAGTGCATCCTGTCTCAGGCTGGCTTACAGCGAAGCCTCGGCTAAGTCGCCTTCCCTCTGGTTATTTTCTCATCTGGAAAACGAAGGGGCAGGATTTGATGAGCTCTCAAGCAGCTTCCAGCTCTGGCGTCTGCGCTGCTGGCTCTGACCTGAGCAGCTCTGAGAGGTGGTGGCCCTGGGGTGTGGGCCACCTTTCCTTCTGGTTTCCACCCCCACCCCAGCCCTGCAGCTACTGTTAACTAGGGGCTCTCTGTCCAACTTGCCACATTCTTGTCCCAAGTCTAATTTAGCGCCAGGCATGGCTAGCAGGAAAATTGGGTTCCCAGCCTGCCCTGACATTAACTGCATGTGTGACCTTTAGTAACGTGCCTCCTCTAGGGCCTCACCTGTAACCAGAGAGAGAGAGCAGGACTAAACGATGGGATCTGCTGCAATCAACAGCTTCAGGCTCTTCCAGGAGTCGGGTCCCTGTTGTTCCAGGGACTCGAGGTGGAAGGGGGGGGGTCCCGCTCTGTAGCTGACGCCCAGGTTGAGAAGCCCGCCATTTGACAGTGAAAGTGAACCTCTGACGTGGACTTAGAATCCCCCTCTCCCCGTGGCTGTGCCACCAAGCACATCTCAAGAGGTGACTTCTGGTGTCCCCTCCTGTGTACATGAGAACCTCCTCCCAGACCCTTCGCTGCAGTGGAGTAGGGAGCAGGCAGGGCTGAGTTTAGTAGTTTTAAGGTTGGGGATGTAAGGCCCTCAGTACGAGAGCGTCCTGCCCAAAGCCGCACAGCAAAGGGAACCCAGGTGGCCCAGTCTTGGGCCCTCTCCCTCCAACTGTGCACAGGCCACCCCTCCACCGGCTCCTTGGGCTTTTCTCCACATCTCGCTTCCCCCAGCCCTGGACATCGGGCAGCCTTTGGACAGAAGGGAGGCGGTAAGCAGCAGAAGCCGCCCTTCTAGGACCACACCTCAGACGAGGGCAGAATCTTCCAGGTGGGATTGCTCTGAGGCCTTTGGCAGAGCGGCAGCCTGAAAGCTGATCTCCAAGAGGGCGTGGCTTCCAAATGCTGGCAAATAAAAATCTGGAGAACCAGCACCAGCCAGAGACTAGCAGCAGGCACGAGGAGCCACTCGGCAAGCCACTCAGTCCCTGGGCCTTGGAAGTGGTAAGCCCCCGGGCAGGAGGAGCCCTGAGAGGGCCCGGGGTCCTCATGCGGAGGGAGGCAGATGTTTGTGTTCCACATGGTGGGAGAGATGCGGGGGTAAGTCACCACAGTGGGCTGACATACGAGTCCCATCCAGAGACAGTGGCTCACGCTGACACCCATCCAGAGAGACACAGGCAGATGCACACATACCCCCGAAGGCAGGTGCAGGGGAACGCCAGCCCCACTCCCAGGCTTGCCTCGCCCCAGTCCGACAGGTCAGCCTAGCCCTGCCCATTCGCCTGGAGGCAGGCAGCGTTCAAAAAACTCCCCTGCCCACCTGCACGCCCATCTGCAGACATCTGTCTCCCCACTGTGTTTCAGATGCCCATGGCCTCCCCCAAAACCCTGCTCTTCTGCCTGCTCTTCCTGGTGATCACTGAAGGCTGGGGTCAGCAGGCGGCCATCCCGGGCTGCCACTTGCACCGTGAGTAACCCTTGGCACAGAGAGCTGGGTGGGAGCGAAGAGCTGACGGACTGGATGGCGGGGCGGGCAGTCCCCTTGACGGACCAGCCTCAAGGGGGCGTGCCACAGGAGCTGGGCGCATCTTCGCAGAGCTCTACCACTGGCCTGTCTCCTCCTAGCCTTCAATGTGACAGTGCGAAGTGACCGCCAAGGCACCTGCCAGGGTTCCCATGTGGCACAGGCTTGTGTGGGCCACTGTGAGTCCAGCGCCTTCCCTTCCCGTCACTCCGTGCTGGTGGCCAGTGGCTATCGACACAACATCACCTCCATCTCTCAATGCTGCACCATCAATGGCCTGCGGAAGGTGAGGGGCCCAGCCCCGTGGTGGCTCACTGAGGGCTGGGGGAGGTGGAGACGGGGGTCTGAAGCGGCCTGACGAAAGGGACTGGAACACGGATCCCTCTCCCCCACAGGTGAAGGTGCAGCTGCAGTGTGGGGGGGACCGGAGGGAGGAGCTGGAGATCTTCACGGCCAGGGCCTGCCAGTGTGACATGTGTCGCCTCTCCCGCTACTAGTCTGCCCTTGGCCCGGCTCCCTCCTCTTGGTCAGAGGGACTGAGCTGGAGGACACCCCATTTATCCTCAGCCTCACTGAGGACAGCACTTTCAACCCTGCCTTAGCATGGGTTGAAATTGCTTCAATGACTGTCACCTCCTGGAAACAGGGGAGCTTCTGCCTCTCCCCTGCCCCTGCCTGGCCTCCTAACCAGCCTTTGATCATTTCACTTTCCTCTTGGTCCCCATCCCTTAATAAAGCAACAGTCCTCGAGTTTCTGTCTTTATTAAGTCTACCCCCAGCCAGGGGAAGGGGGACAGACCACGGTAACTGTGACCCCACCTTGCCTCAGGACATGGGGAATCTCTTCTGCCTGTGCCCTCACCCCTCCCCCTGCCCAATAAATAAAAAGGGGACAAGAAAGTACAGGGTGAGGGAGGGGAGGGAAGGAGGATGCCCCAGGCCCAGGACGGCGTCTGTGTTGGGGGTGAGCAGGGGAGAATAAATAGACCATGGAGCCCATGGTGGGGTGAGGAAGGACCTCGCGCTGGCACGAGGTGGGGTATCCGAGGAGCTGAGTCCCGTTGCCCTAGGCCGGGCGCAGGGGCTGGGAACCTGCCTGCAGTCTGGAGCCCAGCTTTTCGGGGCAGGGAGATCCCTGATGGCAGCTTCCTGGTCCAGCTTGCCCTGGTCAAGTCCTGCCACGAGGGCCTGAGAGTTCTGTTGCCAGGACCACCATCTCCTCTCCTCCTCTCCCCACAGTGAAAGCTGCCCGTGCCGGGCCAGGCGGGGAGCCCTCCGAGCCCACTCTGGCAAGGCCAGGGGTAGGTGTGTGTCTCTCTGGGCCCCTGGGCAGGAGAGGGGATGGAGGGACTGATAGCTCTGGGTTTAGTTCCTCCCCTTCTACGGGATCTCTAGCTCTGACCCCCACTGGCGGCCACCTGGGGTGTAAGGCGCTGGAGGGGGGCCTCTTTGGCCCCCTGGGTCCCCTGTAACCGGCGTAGCCGTAGCTCCTCCAGGCCTTGCCACAGCTCCTGACGCTCCCGGGCCTTCTGCTGCTCCCTGGGGAGAGAGGGCGAGGCAGCTCCCCTACTTGCAGCCCTGCTGACAGTCCAGCCTCCCACACCACTGCCTCATCTGCAAAGGGACTCTCTGGGAGCCTCCCGCTCCTGGAAGAGGTCACTGAGGACAGGCTGGCTATGGAGTAGATGGATTAGCCTGGCTCTGAGAGGCCCAGCTGAAGGGCAGGAAACTCCAGGGAGTCAAAGCTCTACACCCGGAAGAAGCACTTGGGAGGATGACCGGACAGCGCAGTGGGGAGTCGGGCCTGAGCGGGCCAGCACTTGCTAGGAACCCAGGGAGAGGCTTTAAACATCAGACCAGATGTGGGGTCACCCTCTAAGTAGCTCCCTCCACCCATGAGGAGCTGGCTCTTTCCTGCTCGTCTCCCCCTCCCTCTGTGCCCAGCGCCCCAACACTCACTGCTGCTTTTCCAGCTTGTAGGAGGCTGTGAGCTCATCAAACAGCTTTCCATTCATCTCCATGAAAGTCTTGAGTACATTGTAGATCAGAGACACAATGGTTCTTGGCAGGTGAAGGGACGGGGTGAGGAGATGACAGCAACTTCAGTTTGGCCCCACCTTCCTCTACAGTGCTCTGCCTACCCCTGTCCCCAAACGTAGCCGCAAGCACTGCCCTC